TTTCCCTTAAAAAAGTCATTATATTATTTTAAAAATATTTGCTTGAGAATGTGCCAGTGTGGCCACTCGGCCACACTGGCACATTCTCAAGCAAATATTTTTAAAATAATATAATGACTTTTTTAAGGGAAAAAATGTTATAGATTAAAATTAAGAAGAGCTTGACGCAATGCAATTTTTAAGTGAAAATCAAACTGTAAAACTTGATAAATGTTTTAGTATGTTTTAACATATGTTTTAACATTACTTAATTTAACGTTTACGTACGTAAGATATTTGGATACATGTTCGTTCACGTTTTCTTATAAAACGAAGCTGCTACAACTCTTTCTCACCACTACCTCGCTTGCAATGGCTGGCAAGGGTACGTGTCAAACAGGCTCGAAAGCGCACTGCTACTATTAAGTTCAGTATTATTAAATAGATTATTAAATTGATTATAGTCTATCGAAGTAGATATTCTGCAAAAAAAAAAATCATTTCATTTATAAATTGATAATTTTCTGTTATATTATAGATATGTTTTATATTTTTTTTACCTTGCTAAAGGTTTGATCTAAGTATGTATCTTTATTATTAAATTTTAAATTTGATTTTTGAAATGGTTTTTATATTAAATAAAAACAATAATTTGATAAATTAAGTTTTTATTATAGAACAGAAAAGAAAACTTGAGTTTTATTATTAAATTGTTGAGTTATTTTGTGAGTAAATTTAGTAATTAATTATTTGAATTTGATTTTAAAAGATTTTTATTTATTTAATAATATAAAAAAATCTGATTTTAAATTTGGGAGTAATGGCATATGACGCCAACAATCGTATAAACAGGAAATTCGGTTATCACCAAACAAGCAAACAGAGATTGGTTAAATTTCGCTTTAAAACCTTTATTTGTATCATACTTTGATTTAAGTTTTTATTTCTTTTAGGTATTTATTTATTGCTCAAAAGAGTTTTTAACTTTATCCAGAGTTGTTTATTGCTTGGCTTCAGTTAAATCACTCATATTGAGTAACAACTTTAAGGTAACCATTGCACATAATGAGTGTTTCTAATAATTTAATATTTTGTTAAACATTAAAATCTTTCCTTACTCAAAAACATTTTGTTTTTTTGTTTTTTTTTTAGATGTAGAGCTGGCTCGAAATGGAAAAGAAAGGAAAGACTGTGTTTTTGTGTATTTGGATTGATTTATTTATACTTATATTTATTATTTATTTAACCAATATATATTACGTAAAGATTTTTTAAGTATATCTATATTGTAAATGTATATATGGATATGCAATATAATTATACTATTATGTGCTTGTATATACTATATCAAAATTGTTAATAATTTTTTTGAAGGTGTTTATTACTTTACTAATATATTACTAATTCGTGTATTTGCTGTTGAAGTGAAATGTAAATCACGGAAAATTTAATATTATTATCTAAATCAAAGAAAATTTGTTTCCAGAAAAATATTTTAAAAACATGCTATTGATTTTATATATATTTGCTAAAAATAGTTTGTTTAAATTTTCGTATGAACGGAATGTAAATATTGCAACATTAATTTTGTTTATGGAAACTATGCGGCAGCTGAGTTTTTCTGTAAAATTCCGGATAGTTTGGTCATCGGCAGCTAACGGAACTTTTCCGTAAAAAACACGCTATATTTTTAACAGTGTATGTTTCTACCCGCAGCCAAAATGAGCGAGTACCATCAAAAGCTGGTTGATATGCTCAAGTGAATGCACTAAAGTTTTATCTAACTTACGTCTTAAAGAGCAACATGTATTATAAAAACATTTATTGAAACCTTATCAATCGCTAGGAATGGTGGCAATTCGCATTCATCAAACTATAAAGCATTCTATATACAATTCAATTCTAATTTAGAGCAAAAGCTGTTTTAGGGTGAGGGGATCATGGGGGTAGTTACCCTTCTTCCTCTGGGACTTATTTTCAGAAATATTAATTTTTAAATTGACTATTATACAGAATTGGACTATTATACTGATGAATGAAATTGACTATTATACGTAGCTATACGTATATGAATTTGATTATTACACTGAAGTACAAAAAATTAAAAAAGAATGTTACTTATAATTAAAATATGCGGAACTTTTTTTTAAAGACTTTTTCGCCCCTCCTTGGCAAGTGACAAAACCCGCCCCTAGACCTTGTCCGTTCTAATGAGCAAGATAGGATAAAAAGATTAGTTGTTGACCTTGCATACCTTAGTCACAAAGTATTCTATCTCGCAGCCATCCATAGGAAAAAGAACAAATTTAAACTGAATATAACCAATTACATTGGTAAAGCAGCGCTGGATAACTCCAAGCACTTAATGTTTGGCTTTCGGTACAATAAGATTAAGGCAAAATATGGTCTGAACGCCAGCTTCTGTATACGCCAACAGTTAATTGTACAAAGTCGAAACTGATGGTACATACAAAGACATCCAAGAAACCTCGAAACGGTACAACTTTAGTGATTATATTCAGAGTTATCTATGATTCAACGAGAAAAATAATAATGTTGCTGGAAAGAGAGAGGTAAAGGGATCAGCACAATTGAGTCATACAAGAATTGCTTAGTAAATAGAAAATAAATGAATCATACAAAAGTCAGAAAAAATAGTCAAGCCCACTAAACCGGTGTATATGAGAAATTCAAAACATCTCTCAACCCAATTGACACTAAAATGGATCCTTAAGGTGGAATTAACACTAGAGTCTATGGTCATTATGCATCCAATCCATGACTACAAAATGATTTAGTCAGGTGGTAACTCAGCACCATCCAGAACACACGGTCGTTTACAAGCGTTAAGTTTAGGTGCGCATGTGCCAAAAGTTGATAAAAATTTCAGAGTTTTTTAAAATGGCTGCGGCTCTTAGCTACATAATCTTTTTTATATAGCAACTGTTATTTTTAGTTTATTTTTGTTAAAAATTAATGTTGCAACCATATTACTAATCTAAATCAATAAATAAATGCCTTTTTTGTATTAGTAAATAAATAAATACGCTAACCAATTATTTTTAAAGTTTTAATTTGTGTTTCGGCTAAAACTTTTATTTGTATCATTGAGTGGTTTGTTTATTTTTTTTAAATAAATTTTGAGAATTTCTAACTGTACAAATTTAAAAAAAACTTTTCTTTATTATTATTACTACTTTATTTATACTTTGACCTTCTTTTGGTTGTTGCTTAAATTGAATTTTTCTGTAAAATGTATTTTAACTCGTTTAGCTTGTTAAGAGCTTAGTTTTTTCTTGAATTTTGTTATATATATATATATATATATATATATATATATATATATATATATATATATATATATATATATATATATATATATATATATATATATATATATATATATATATATATATATATAAAATATTAAATTATGTAATACTGAGAGATAAATAAAATTTATCGATAATTTTGTTGTTGTTGTTAAAAGTATAATTAATAGATTTTATATAAACATATTTCCTTCCCATGGGATACAAAGCTCCACAATCTAACAAGCCTGCCCTTTGAGCCAATGTACAGATTCAAACATGTTTACTTTAAATTTAGAGATTTTATTAGGGTATATTATAACACATTAAAATTATACTATCAAATATTTTTAGCTCTTTAATTGAACTATTAATGTTATATAAATGATGAGTTAAACTTTAGTGCATGTCTTTTTTCATGCCCTTTAAAACCTGTCTTAAATACATAAAAATGTTGATTAAAAAAAAACTTTTGATCCTGTTTGTTTTTAAATTAAACCTGGGGAATTGATTTTTTGTAGTTGCTCGACACTTTTTTTGATATCTCCCTTCGCAAAATGGTTTTGTGATATCTTTGTACCCCCCCTCCTCACCCCAGCCTCCTAATTCTTAATAGACGAGATATTTGTAAACAAAATATATCTAAAAGTTTACTAATTAATAAGGAATTAAATTGAATTAAAATTCAATATCAATTTTTATCACAACGGAATTAGATCACACAAAAAAAAGCTATTTGTATAGCCCTAGACGTTGCACATTAAGAAAGCCTTAACATGTTAAGGGCGGATACAAAGGATTAAGAAGTTAAACAAAGTACCTAAAGAAACGTTGGATGTCATAATATTAACGTTTAATAGGAAACGGAGGTGCGAAACCAGTGGTTTAGGTACGTATATATATTATGGATACCAATAAGAAGAAGTTGTATTAGTGGCGGATTTAGTATAGTACTCTTTAGTAAGTGCCTTGGAGAACAAGTAAGAAATATAATCCTATACCTGCCTAAAAGTTTCTACGTTTTAAACCTACCAACCCACCATTTTATAATATTTTTTTAAATTTAGTGTCTCCAAACTTTTTATAATTGACCTACTACCCCCCCCCCTATCTCATATTTTTACATTTGCAGACCCCTCTTCCTCTCCGAGCGTTCGTATTTTATGGACGACCCCTTAACTACTTTTTAAGTGCTACGAAATAAAAAATTTAAAATGTTCAAAATAACTAAGTTTTCAATTAAATAAGATTTTAAACTCTTTCCCTAGGGTTTTTAATAACTGGTGTAAGATTTACAACCCTAAAATTAAAGGCACATGATTCGTTTTATGAGTAGCTCCCTAACTACTGTTAGGGAGCTACTCATAAAAATCAAGTGAACTATAAATTAGTCAATTTTTTAAAATATTTGAAAATAAGGTCAAGATAAATCTAATTATTTAATAAACAGGGGTGGGTAAGGGGAAAAAAAAGAATTATTTGGTAGTATGAAATGCAACGAACAAAGAAAAAAAATGAATTTAGCAATTTTCATATATTTTGCAGCATTTTGCTTCTCTGTTTTTTTTTATTTTTTGTATAATATTTAATCTCTTACATATAAATTTTTACATTATTTAGACTTTCTTTTTTAAAAATTTTTATTGCAATATATTCTTTTTCTCAAGGTTAGTTTAAGCTTTCTGTTTATAGGGTTAGTTTTTGATTGTGTGATTTAAGAAGACTATTTTTTTATAAATCGAATAACACGATCTTCTAGCATGTGTAACTTTGATAAGAATGAACCATATGACCAATTAGAACAATAAAACTATTAAATCAGCAATATGCTTTTCTAAAGATAAATATATAGTAATAGTAAAAAATCATATCTCTTTTATCTAATATAAATTTCATTTCTCAAACATACTACAAACACTTTAATATGTATACTAATATAATACTCTATGCAATACTTATCAACCAATAGTTTTTTAAAAATATTTAATCAAAACATTTAAAATAATATACTTTCAAGAATATTGCTCTAAAGATTAATATCCTATACCTTCTATCCAAAATCATCAAATTGTGTGCTCTTGTTCATCTATTAAATTGTCTATTTGTCTGGAATCAGGCACAAGTTAACCTCCCTCCCTCGATCTATTATTTCTTTACTGCTATAAAAAGTTCTTGTTATTATCTTCCGTCGTTTAGTAACCTTAAATTATATATCCTTAATCATTACTTAGTTATGTACGTAAATAATATTAACAAACCAATGCATAAAATCATGAAATAGATTACCTCTTCATTTTAAATCACTAAACCTTATTACTAAAACCGGTCTTTACGCCTACTTTTGGAAAGATACTGTTTGTAAAATATTGGGCTCATTGTGGGTTATTATTATTATTATTATTATTACTTTTGGTGTTATTTTATGTAATAAAAATATTATTTTATGTAATAGTAATATTATTTTATGTAATAAAAATATTATTTTATGTAATAGTAATATTATAGCATTGTTTTACTATTATTCATATATTATTACTTATTTTTATTGTTTAATATTTAGTTTAAATACTTATCAAAACTATTATTACTATTATTATTGTTATTATTATAAATTTTTTGATAACTCATCTCCAAGGCAAAGAAGGCCACTGCAGATGAGGAGGCTACTTGTGGTTATTACCCTATCTCTATTATTAATATAGTATTATATTTATTGATATAAATAGTATTGTTAATACTATTGATATTAATAGTATTGCTTTTATTGCTTGTTATTGGCCTCGTTATAATTGTTTTAATATTATTTAAATTACAATTTAATTTTACTTTAGATTAGTACTTATACTATTTCTAAATATCCATGAAATGTAACAATCTTTTTTCATAATATATATATATATATATATATATATATATATATATATATATATATATATATATATATATATATATATATATATATATATATATATATATATATATATATATATATATATATATATATATATATATATATATATATATATATATATATATATACACTTTGCATGCATGTGTATGTTGCATACATACACACACATATGATATATCATATATCATGTGTGTGTGCATGAATGTAAGAATTTTTTTTATAACTTTCTTCTGGTGCATTTTAAATGATCATGTTAAAAAATAAAGATGAAATATTTATTTATGTTATATTAGCTAATAGAAAATCAAATTTACTTACTTTACATTGCATGTATTTGGAAACTTGTGATTGCTAAAACAAAACATACACACATATATTATGTGTGAACATTTTGTTTTAGCAATAGAAAATTTCCAAATACATGCAATGTATAGTAAAAAAAAAAATACTTTTCTATTAGCTAATGTAATATTAATAAATAATGTTATTTTTTTATCTTTATTTTTATAACATGATTGTGCAAAATGCACCAGAACAAAGTTATAAAAAAAAATCTTAGCACTTAACTACTCACATGATAAAAATACATTTTCTGCCAAAATTAAATTTAAGCAAGAATCAAAAAATAATAAAACTATAAAGTAAATAACATTAAAAAGGTTAAAGAAAAAATTTTCAAATTCGTACAGTAAGAAATTCAGAAATTTTATTTCAAAAAAATAAACAACTTGCTTTCCTACAGCAAATTAGCTTTCACAGAAATACAACTATGTGCATCTTAAATTGTTTTTAAATTTAATTTAATTGCCTAATATTAAATAAATGACGCTTGTTTATTGATGTAAAAAAAAAAAAAAGTTTATAATACTGAACAGTACACCAAAAAATGCAACTAAATGGTATTCATCTAAAATTTACTCCGTAGTTAAAAACCGCAGCCCTTTTAAAAGCTCTAAAGTTTTTACTGAAAACTCGCGCATGCGTACCTAAACATAACGCTTTTTCCTAATATCTAAACGACCGTGAACAATAGGCAGCTCTTCACGGAAGAAACGTTTATTCGGTCTGGTCCGGTGTGGCGTCAAATTCCCACTTTACATCTACTTGGTTTAAGAAAATGCTGAAATAAAACGTGTACTGTGTAAAATATTTTAAAAAGTGGTATATAAAAAGCGTAAATACTTCAATACTATCTCTTAAATAATTCAAAAACTTAAATAATTTACTTAATGATTTACAGTATCGTCCACAATTATTTTCGTCGCGTCCACAATTATTTTCGTCGCGTCCACAATTATTTTCGTCGCGCCCACAATTATTTTCGTTTGTCCATAATTATTTTTAAATCAAAACACTTTAAGCCATAATGACTAACAAGAACTCAATAATCCAAATATCGAAATGGCTGAACAAAACAGCAACGGAAGAAAATATTGCTACAATAAAAAGAATGTTGATTGGCAACGAATCAAGTCGATCTATTGCAAATGCAACAGATCTTTCAATTAGGGCAATACAAAACTGGATACGAAAGCTTGAAGCAGACCAAAATATAATACCAAAAAAACGTGGCAGAGCTGCACGAAATAATATTGAAAGAAAGAGAGAATTAATTAATGCAAAATTAATATTAATTAATGCAAATAATGCATTAACTACTATTGACATTGCAGAGTTAATGCCAGAAGAACATAAATGCTCGACAACTACAATCAAAAGAGAATTAAAACAAATGGGATATACCCGTAAAAGGCTTAAGGTGGTAGTACCCTTTAAGAGAAAAAAAATTTAAAATTTGATATAATATGGGAGCATTTATGTTTTTCTGAAGTGTTAGATTAAATCATTTCAAAAAATAACAAAATTAATTTTTTTTACCCCTCTGCTCAATAATTATGCGCATAAATTAGCAAAATTTAGGCAAAAAAATTGACCTTTTTTTAACAAGAATATCTTGAGAACCATACAAGTTCTACAAACCAAACTTAATAAGTAGTTTTATATATGTTCAAAAAATGTGCTGAATTAAAAATTATACAATAAACAACATTTAATAACTTTAAAATCATTAAATTCTATCAATAAAAAAAAAAAGTATAAGTACAGCTTGCTAAAGCTCAAATTTTAATACTTTAACATAAAAAAAAAATAATTTTCTTTGGTTCAGCACATCACAAATACACTCAAGAATAATTGCTGAAAATTTGAAAGAATTCCAATGAGCGGTTAAAAAGTTATCTTTGTTAAAAAATTAAAAGATACACAAAAAGTGAATCGCTTGAAAAACACAATTTAAAAAAATATTAAAGTTTTTTACACAATAAAACCTACTAAAAACCACCACTGTTGTATGTAACAGCTTCTGCTTCGTTATGTTGGTCAATAAAGCCTTTTTTAATAGCTCTTAGCTTTTTCCTCCTGTTTTTTGTGGCACCTGTACTTTTTATCTCATTCTGCTTAACGCGAACATAATCTACATTTAGAGAACTTTTTGTTGTAAAATATCCAGGCACAACATTACATTTTTCAAACACTGGTAGTAAACCCTGAACTCCATTATTGAAGCTAATTATTGCAGAGGCCAAAGCAATCTCAACAACTGTTTTTTCCACATGTACTCTCTTGGGTGCGCGAGCCCAAACCATCCCATTTAGCGATTCATTGACATTTTGAGTTTGGCCATGTAAACATTTCTTGAGCAATTCATCACTGCCAAGATCTTTGTAAGAAAAAATTGGCTTAATGAGCTCAATTATAGCTTTTGGAATACACTTTGAATTGTAATTTTTCTGGTCTGAATGATATTTACACCATGAACTTGAACCTTTAGGGCAAAACTGGTGCTGTTCCTCTAAGTTGTCAGATTGTGCGCAGTGAAAAAGTACTGCAGCAACAGCCTTTTTCATCCCATATAGACTATCAATGTTTTGGCGTATTGCTATTCCATAATAGTTTTGAAGAGTATTTATCCACTTATCAGTTAATCTCCCTTTCCCACTGATGTATTTTCCATCTGATAATGTATTACCTTTGTAACGATCTCGCAACATTCGTAGTCTTGCACCAACTCTCTTCTGAACATGTCCTATGCACTCTGCTTTCTCAATAATTTCTCCTGGGTATGGATTTGCATCACATACTTGCATATAAGACTTGGTATCTCCATCTCCAATGTATGTTAGGTACTTCAGTTTAAGCTCCTCGACAGATCGCTTGAATATTTGTACAGCGCCTACAGATTCCATACTTCCTGAGCTACCTTTATGATTGATCTTGCAGTTATGTGTGATCTTCCAGTTCTCATAAGCCGGAGTACCTTTTCTTCTTGACCATATCTTGCAGGGGTAACAACTTTTTGTCTGGACAGCAGCATCAATACACTTTCCATGAGATATTGCTGTGACTATACCATTCATTGAGGAGTATCCTCTGCGCTGCCATGAACCATCTAAACTAACAGCAACATTGACAATTGAAGATTCATCATAATTTTCACCAAGTTTTTCCCTACGTATGTCCTCTGAGGCTTTTTTCATACTCTGTCTAGAGGTTTCAATGTAAGCAAGGTGAAGTTTGTTATTAATATTATGGTAACCACGTTTAGTCATACCTGGAGGCATATTCATTAAACGACAAAAAGTATTAATTGCTGTGTATCCTTGCCCCATTTCTCGAAAAGCTAACACAGTACGTAGGTTAATTTCTTTCATTTTTTTACCTTTGATTACATCATTTTTATTTTCTATTGATTTTGAAGTTAAAAAATTTATCATCCATGTACAATCTTGACAAGAAATTATGAAAGTGTGAGAAAGACCCTCTTTTTTATTAATGTCATGTATAATATTGATTGACGCATAACATTCTGGGCATCTTCCAACTGTTTTCAACAAACTTGAAAATAAATTTGAGTTTATAATTATATTACACTCTTTTTCTATATAATCAAAGTTTTCTATATCTAAAAGAGACAAGTTTATTTTTTTTCCAGATGCCGATCCACTTACATTGGTTGGTGAATGTGGAGACAAAACAGTTTGTTGTAAAGCATTTGAATTATTTAGAGAATCTTTTTCTAATTTATAAAACTTTCTTTTCTTTGCTCTTGATTTAGCATATCTTTTTTTTGAACCCATTTATCAGACAACTAATCAAAATTATCCCTCAATCGAAGAACATTTTATAAAAGGATAACTATCTATATATTGCAGAAACAAATATGAGGTTTCAATTTATGGATATTAGATCAAAAACTAACAAGAGTTCTTAAGGAACAATTTAATCATAAGCACACAAAAAAAGCATATAAATTGAACTTTTATTTTTCAAGATATAGCAAGAAATGTATCTCTAAGGACCGTTGCTAAGGCAATTAATTTTCCAGTACCAAATTATTAAGAGTAATTTAGGCCTTTTGATTATTTTTTTTTTAATTTTTTTGAATTATTATAAGAGTAGACATGATCAATGAATGAAAATTGTTAAAAAAAAAATTTTGAAAAAAAAAATTATTTAGCCTGTTTTTTGGGGTACTACCACCTTAAATCGATCGTTGTTGCAAGAAATTCAGCTCAAGTAATAGCAACGAAGTTTATGTTTTGCAATCATGTTTCTTTTCTGCAAAATTCAGATCTGGTCTATATTGATGAAACCGGGTTCAATCTGCATGATTCACGACATTATGGATATGCATTATTAGGAAGCACCCCGTTTGTTACAGTGCCCACACAGAGAGGAAGAAATATTAGCCTAATATGCGCTATTTCAGTTACAGGGTGTATTGGATTTAAACTAAAGATTGGAGCTTTAATACCACTAGCATGCACGACTGGATAGAACAAGATTTAAGACCAGTTTTAAGTGATCGCAGATATGTTGTAGTAATGGATAATGCGCGATTCCACCATTCATCAATAGTAGAATCGGCATTTCGAGAAAGTAATTGTACTATCCAGTTTTTACCACCTTACAGTCCTCAACTTAATCCTATCAAGGAGTTTTTTGGCGTGGTTAAAAATTTATTTAAAGGAATACAACCGCAACCTAACAATTCACAAGAAATGATTAGAATTATTACTGAGATTTTATCAGGTTTTACCGAATATTCTTTTGAGAATTATTATTCTCACATGCGTGAGTGGATGTTAAAAGGAATTCAACGTAATGAATTTATTTGATTAAATTATACTTGGATTTTTTTCTTGATTTCAAAAATTTTAAAAAATAAATTGTTTTGATTTAAAAATAATTATGGACAAACGAAAATAATTGTGGACGCGACGAAAATAATTGTGGACACGACGAAAATAATTGTGGACGCGACGAAAATAATTGTGGACGCGACGAAAATAATTGTGGACGATACTGTATTATAAATTCCCCATTATCTCTTCATTTTAAATCAGCATCGGAAAATAATATTTCTACCTAAAATTATTGTTGTTATTAATTCAAGAAAACTTTATACGTTAATAGGATATAAACTGGTAAATCTGCAGTTAAGCCGCGTAAAATAATCTTATTTTTTCGCTGGTTACGATCTCGCGTGGAGACTTGCTCAAATTGGTGTCTTTTTAATATAAACAGAAAATATTTATTCAAATACTTTAGCAGCAGGCTATAAAATAGTTGATGTATGTACTGAAGCCAATAATTATTGGCTTTAGTACATGCATCAACTATCTTATAGCCTGCTGCTACAAGGAAGTGCTGCTACATTGACTTATGCCAGTTCGCACTTATGCCAATTTGCACTTAGGCCAATGTTTGCAAAATGTTTTGGCGAATTCGCACATAAGCCAGTTTTTGCAACGCTTCGCACTTAGGCCAGTTCGCACTTATGCCAATTCGCGCTTATGCCAGTTTGCATAAGTGCGAATGGCGTAAGCGCCATTCGCACTCATGTAAACTGGCATAAGTGTGAATGGCGAATTTCATAAGTTTCACTTATGAAATTCGCGCTTATTCAGTCGCCCCAAAAAAACAAATACTATTTAACGCATGCCTACAATAATTTATTTTAATTACTAAAATGCCGTTGACCGATCTAGGTACTCCTAAATTCTTAGGAGTACCTAGATAAAACTCCTTAGAATATTTTGTATTTTATAAAGTTTTCTTATTTGCAATATTTATTTTATGCTCTTGTTATATTATGCCAATGTTATATAATGATTTATTATTTTCAAAAAATGAAATTTTACACAGTTTTACGTTTTATTAATTATATGCTAATAATGTATAATATCACACGTTCAATTAATACCTAAATGATTGTTTTAGATATAAGTTTTACTAAAACTTAACAATTAAAAACATAAAAATAACAAATAATAATTTACTAAAACTTTTAGTAAATTATTGCGTATTTTTTATGCCCTTTAACAATTATTTTTATTATAAAATTAATATTTGAAAACAGAATTAAAATTTTTTTGTAGCTTCTTAAATATAGTCTATACAACTATATTTAAGAAGCTACTAATATTATATGGTGTAAAAATTACAAATAATAAATTACAATTCTTTTTTTAGTGTTGAAAGATTAAATAATCACTTAACTTTTTGTTTTTAATAATTTTAATCGACAACTTATAATACTTTTAATGATTTTAAATCTTTAATTTAATTGAGATTAATAAAACAAGGATTGCGATAAGAAAAAATCATCAATATAGCAGCAAGGTTTTTTTATTGGTAATAAAATAAATTGTGAGTTATTAGTTATTACTACTAGTTAGAGTTGTTATTCTCCTTTTTTTTACAAAATAAAAATGGTAAAATTGCAATATATTAAATAAAGTATTACTGTGTTTTAGTGAATCTTCATATGTGTTTTTAGCAATCTTTATACTGTCACGATTACTCAGCATTGTCATTTTTAATTTAATATAAAACTTACAAAGAAGAATGACAACTTGTTTTTTTTTTTTTTTTTTTTTTTTAAACTTTGTCTGAATTGCATACAAAATAGATACATTAAAAGCTATCATTTAAAAAATGATTTTACACTACATTTTAGTACCTATTGGTTTTACCAATAGGTACTAAAATGTAGTGTTGTACTTATGCTTTTTTATTTTAACTGATTAAATTTTTTATTAGCATATACACATATACAGTATTAAAATGACTGCAAGTGCAATGTTACCTGCTATGGATATAAATCATCCAAATCCAGACCAAACACGGTAAAGACATTCATGTTAAATATTTTTGTATACATATATGTATATTATTAACTTTGTTATATATATATTTAAAATACATAACTTTGTTATGTATATTCAATTTGTTACACTTGCAACAATTTAATCAAATATTATCATATTTAAAGTGTTTACTTAATTTTTAACAATTATGTATAAAAGTTGTAAGTTAGAAAAATAAAATAGGCTGAAAAGTTTTGAGTCTGACAAAAAAATAGTGAACTTAGGACCGAAAATATCATTTGACTTATGTTACGCTGACAAAAATGTTTCTTTTAGGTCTCTACTTTTAGGCCTGATTTCTGCAAATCAGTATTGTGAATCGTATTAAAACTTTTAAAATGATGTTGTGAATTCAGTATTTATTATAAAATAAGTCAGTTAGAAGTGACATACTTGGGAAAATAAGTGTATAATTTTGAAACTATATATGTAATATACATTACATTACTTTTGTTACTGTATAATTATTAAAGGAAATTTCTACTGAAATCAACTCATACAAAAAAAAATTGATGTACTAAAAAATTGCAGAAAATCAGAATTTTTTTAGTGGCAGGTAAAAAAGTAGCCAGGCCTATATTAGATCATTAGTAATTTCAGTTGAACCATGTGTGGCATTATATATAGCTAAAAGGGTAAAAAATTGTTTGCATGTCTTAGATTGGATTAGATTGTATTTACTAGCACACTGTTAGTGTCCAAATTGTTGGACACTAATAGTGTGCCTTAAAATAAATTATGTAACAACATGCAACATCACAAATAAATAGTTTATATAAAAGTAAACAATAAGATATGCGTAAGGCTGACATAACTTTTCAAAATTGAGTGAGTTAATTTTACTCTTAAAGATGTTGGTATTATCAGCATTAGCAACATTGAAAGACAACTGATTCAAAATGCTAAAAAGGTGGTATCGTTGGTTCTGATGTTGGAGGTAGTGGCAATACTGCAAATGGTGTTGGTTTCAGTTGGGATGGTGTGACTTTGTTGGCACTTTCAGGGACATACTCAGTAAATTGTGGCAAATGTAGAGTTATGATGACTAAGGCTTGATATGGTCAATGCAAATTTCAGTTTTGTGTGACTTTAGTGGGTTGTGAAATTTACGCAAAAGTTTTTTATTTCTCACTGTTAGTCGACCTGTTCCTTCAACTTTGATAAAGTGTTGGTCATTTTCTTTTCTACTGCGATCCCATTTTTTTCTAGGGCAGTTCCCTGCTTAATTTTGTATGAAAACACTGTCTTCATACTGCAGTGGTGTAAGAAAAAGTGTGTTTTCTTGAAGTGATTTAAGGGTCTTTGCATATCTTGTTCGTAATGCTTCTTTTTTTGCAGACTATGCATGTCTCCATATTTTTAAGAATTGGTCATTATCAAACATAGGCATTCTTTTTTTTTATCCTGGGCATGGCGTCACGAATGGGATGTGTAAATAATTCTTGAGTGGGGATCAACTGACTAGTAGGGTCTTGTGTGTTTCTTATTGTGAGCATTGTCTTCACAAATCATTATTATTGAGATCACCATTTGAGATCACCATTGAGATCACCCACATTATTTCCGAGGAGGTATTTTGTTAATATAACTGCAAGTTCAGCTCTTCCATTAGATTGTGGGTGGTGGTCTGATAAATAGCGTTGATTTATGATGTATGATGAAAAAGTTTTTACGTTGTAGGAATTTTTTTATTTCTCCAGCTGTAAATTAAGAACCGCTGTCAGTTGATATTTTTTCCTGGCACTCCAAATATTGCAAATAATTTACTTAAGTACATAGTAAGACCTTTTGTGCTTATTTCTGATGTTCCTGATTTTGTTTTGTAGACTTTGGTCCATCCAGAAAGTCTCTAAGATAATTCCAGCCACAGAATTCGAAATAGTCAGCAAATATCCATTCAAATTGATTCACAGGGATGCAAGGTTGGTTGGGTGGTAGTCGTGCATTAGAAGGTGTGTTTAAACTACAGCTGCAACAGTTATTGCGCTTACTTTGTATGCTGTAAGTGAATCCCAGGTAGAAAACACTAGCTTGAGCCCTGGCTGTCATTCCTGATACTCTTTGGTAAGCTGAGTGCAGTACATCCAATATTTTATTCCATAAAGTAGGTGGGATTACAACTCTGTTGTTGTGTATTATAACCCCATCAGGCACCATCAAGTCATTGTGGTATTCCCAGAATGGTAAAAGGTTTTGGTATGAAATTATTTTTACTTTTTGGGAAATCATTTTCTATTGCTAACATTAATGCTTTGAAATAAGTATCCTTTTGTCTCTATTCACACTTTCCCATGTCACTGCAATCATTTTATCTATGTCGTTTCCTATTAAGGCTGTTATTAGTGATTCTATAGTATTATTAGTAGTTGGAAAATTTGTGTGTTAGTAATTTTATCTAGGGTTCTATCTCCTAATAGTTTGACAAGGGGTTAATGGTCAGTTACTACCAAAAGATTATCACACCTTTGTGTGAAATATTCAGTCTTCTCCAAACTCCATGCCAGTCCTAGCATTTCGCTCTTAACTGGTGCATATCATTGTTAAGCGGATGATAAGAATCTGGACCCAAGAGTTATTTTCCATCCGGTTATACAGCAATCTGGGGAGTCCGATTTACATTCACAATATTTTTGGCTTAGGTAATACCTTATCCCCAATTTTGATCAGTGCATCTTACCAATCTTGATCAGTGCATCTTAACATGTCACATAACCAAATGTCAAATATTAGACCTCCTATTTAATTTCGTTGATAATCTATTCCTTCGACACATTGATTGAAGTATCGGGCTTGGACATAAATGGTGTGCGATCGAGCGCTATTGCTAACCACAAGAGTGATTTTATTTTTTGACAACTTGACCATGATTGTTTATATGTTTGATGATTTAAAAATTTCAGAAATGCTCTGAATGTAGAAACGCTTAGCTAAACTTAAACTAGGAAAAAAAAACTAGTGAAAAAAAGTTTACAACGAAAAATAAACCAAAAAGAAACTATATTAGTACTAAAATAAAAATAAAAACTTAAACTCAAAGCGAAACTTCTTGTTATGTATATTAATATATATTTTTAACTACGTATGAAATAAACGTTATTAAAGCTTATTTTTTTAATGTTATAAAGTTACAAAAAACGTTTTCAAATTAAATAACAAGTTACTATTAATGATTGTTTTATAAATGAACAAATTGTAATAGATTTATTAAAAAGTGTTGTATATAATATTTTTAAATAGTATAAACATTTATTTTTTCAAAAAAGTTGCAAAAAAAATTGTTTAAAAAAATAACGTAGTCTATTTAAAATAATAATTTTTAATAACTTCATGCTCTAATTAGTAAGTCTAATTAAAAAAAAAAGGTTTTTTTTTTTTTTTTATTTGTAAAAATAGAAAAAAAATAAAAAATAAATAAAATGCGCCTGCAATTTAAATAAAATAAACTGCCAACAACCATTTTATTTAATTTTATTTTTAGCATTATAACTTTTTTAATTATTATAAAAGATTTAAACTCATTCATTCCTATGAAAATTAAAAAAAATATAATAATAATTTAAAAAAAGTCGTAAATTTAATTATAAAATTTAATCGAATAAACATTAGAAAATGCTTTAAAGCTTTTTCATTAATCAACAAAATACATGCTTATATAAATAAAGTTATTTTATATTCTTGGGTAATTCCACATCAAATCACCCACTCCATTGAACCATGTGTCTTCTTTTTGTTTTAAATTTTGACACATGATTCCTATTTATAAAAAAATATTGCATGCAAAATTTCAGCTAAAAATGTCAAGCGGTTGACAAGATACAGCAAATTTAATTTGGACCTGGTTTCTCAAAATGACCCGGTTTTCATAACATTCTGAAAAGTTGTTTTCCTCAATAAAATAAGAAATAAAAATGGCAAAAATATAAAAATATACATTTATAATGGTTTTTTAATGCTGAATTCAATAAATGTACTTAAAATGCTGAAATGTTAGAGGAACATCCTTAAAAATTAATAAATCAACTAGTTTATATAATCTAACTTTAGGGCCCAATATCTCAAAACACCCCCATCAAATTTTTTTTTTTTTGCTTTCAATATTTTAAGCTAGTTATAATCTTACTAGGCACAAAAAATCTAACTGGAAAAAAAACTGAAACATATAGAACTTTAATTTTAAAGATGTATAACTTTTTTAAGAAATTCCTAAAAAATATTTATAAATTCAATTAAAATAAATTATTCCTAATTTACAAAGTTACTTAAATATACAAGATTTTTAAAGGTATCGAATGTGCAAGTTATTTTGACTGTATTTGTAATAGTTCACAATATTGTTGCCATTTTACTTGCACTTCTTCTATTTCAACATTTTCAAACACATAGTTTCTACCAGAACTAGAGCAAGCTTGTGGAACAGATAGTTTTTTCAATATATTGATGTTAGGAATAAAACAGTGGTCGTCTCTTTCAGGCCAGTTAAAATAGATTGATGGACCTCTTGGGTGGAGAAACTTAACTTCAGCATCAACTTCTTCTAGGTTGATTTCAGTTACAATGCCGATCCACCACTTATCATCATAAACTACCGCAACATAACCTCCTAAAGTGACAGTATCAGGTTCAAATATATGTTTCTTTTTAAGATTGTGAATTATTGTATATTTAGTGTCTGTACTACACCTCTTCGCCCCAACCCTATTATCTCCAAGATGTATAAATTGATGAAAGCTACGAGTACCTGGTAGAGTTGTTACATCAGTGTACCTTTCTTTTTGCTTTTCACGTTGCAATTGTAAGTCCAATCCCTTTATGTAAATGAAGTTAACAGCCTTAATTTTCTCAACACAAAATTCATACATAGCCTCTGATGTGAGAATTTGGTTTCTGTATGGTCGTTTTAAACTTTCTTGTGCTGTTAACCTTTTTACAGTACCACCAATTCCATCGCATGGTGACTTTCCGTGGGACGTGGCAAAAAA